ATATATATATATATATATATATATTTATTTATTTGTTCACAAAAACCTTCAATAAAGTCAAAATCCAAATCTAACTGGTTTATAACTATGTACGATTAGAATACTTGTTCATGCTTTACACTTTATAGCTTTAGTCTGAGATAAACTACAAACCTCTATACATTACTTGTGATTTTGTTAACCACTACTAGTTTTTATCAGATAATGATGATAATTTATTTTATAGCAACACAACCCATGCTAATAGCATACCAATTGAAAACAATGTTCAACATAGGAACTGATAGTACTGTGTGCTCATGTTTTGTGCACATTAAGTATTTCATGTGTTTTACTAATTTCACAAAATCAACCTCAAATTATTAAATACAAAGTATTAGGTTTTGTAAATGCTTGTTATGACTGAAAAAATATTAATTTTTACTCCCTCCTACTTAAGCACGACTCTCTCAAACCACAATAAAATCAAAAATGCCTTTTGTAAAGATGGTGATGCTTTTCTTAACCACATTATGAAATATTCTTTATAATTACCAAATTGTAATAGAAAATATGCAGTGGATGTTAGTTAATGTTAATGTAATGGCCAGTGCAGAATCTACTAGAAATAAATAAATTGTAAAATACTAAATTACATATTTCATTAAAGCTATAAATATTAAACTGAACCTATTCTAGTGCTACAGAAAAAAGAAAAACTTTAATAATTTAGTGTAAAATTTCAAATTTACATTTTCTAACTTTGGATAACAGGTTAACAAGTTCACATTGGAGATGGCAAATTATTGGCTTTAACTAATAAAGATTACATTTAAAAATTATTAGCTTAATGAATTAGTGTCACAAGTCCTGAAAATAACCAACTAATCAAAATTAGGATTTCCGATTATTACCGATTTTGATTATTCCACCTACCCAAGTAATTGAAATATTGACATTATGATTTCTCTTTATTATTTCTCTCATTAACTCAAGATCATTCAGCTTTGAGCCAATAAGTGAAGTGAGATACAACTGCAGACCTAAAATGTACTCCTTCTTAGTGGATTACATTACAGGACTTACCAACATGAAATTCACCTATCCTGCAATAGAACGCAAGGCACAAAAACTTGGCATTTCAAAGAAAATAATATTGATAGTATTGAAACATATATCTATAAAGCATGGGATGGCATGATTTCAGCAGGGAAAACAGGTTATTACACAACCAGCTACCAGTCACACATCGGATGTGGTGAAAAAAGTTTGTCACCAGAAGTGACTCAAGAACACAACAGTTTATTAAAGCTAAAGCAAGAACTTCCCTTGAAATTGTATGTAAATAATTCAAATATATTTAGGGCCAATTCCTACAAGTTATCTTTAGCCACTTGAAGTTGCATTCCACTTAAATTCCACTGTAGTGGCTTCCAGTTACACCCATTTCAATGAAGCATCTTTGGATTCCTAACATTAACACACTGAACAAATATTATCCAATATTTTCACAAATCATGCATAGTGATTTCAGTAGGTGAAAAGTTAACACTTGCTTTTATGCAACTGTGACAAAACAGATAAGTGGCTATGATTTAGAATAACATTGTATCAGCATATGCCAAAGCCAACCTATTCCAAATAACATTCAATCTATACAAATCTCTATTACTGATAAGACGCTGTTGCATACCTGAAATGTTGCATAACTTTTCTTGAATTTGGTCAAGTGTCCATCTTCATTTACCTTTACTGAAATATTTTACAGATTTTAAGTTCTAAAATGAAACATTTTCTCTAAAAATATTAATTAAAAGCTCAGTATTAAATATTGATTCCATCCTGAAAGGAATGAAAAGGTACTGTAATGATGTTGCCAAAGAATTTGTAATTTTATAATTGGCTGAGAGTTTTCAACAAGTTCTGGGGAATAGAACTGTTCTTTAATTTCAAGTAACTTTTGGCAAGGTAGTTGAAAAATTTCCATGAATTAATTCATAAACCACCCCTTTGTAGAATGGTGTCCTCATGGAATTCCTTGAAGTGGTCTAGAGATTCCAGGTGCCATTTGATAGAAAATTGTTTTAAAAGAATGGTGTACTCATGATTTAAGTTACTGTTCAAAAGTCTTATGCTGTATCCCATGACATCAGATCCTTTTATTCCACACTTTCCTAGTCAGTACTTTATGTGATTAACAATATGCTCCCAGCAGTTTATAATCACTAGTTCTAGAATGGTAGCATGAATAGCATTCTCTACTGATGTTTCACACTCAGTGCATATGGCAGTTTGTTCAATTTTGAATGTGGCATTAATATTTTTATTTTCTTACAGAGCAATTGATGTATATGTTCAGTTTTTTCTCTAATGCATCATGAAGCCCACTAGTTAAACTAGAGATTCTCTGAATGTAATATAGTAAACCTGTTGAATAGAAAAGTCTAGCTTAAATGTATGTCATGTGACAACATAAGAAGAACTACAGGAGACACAACAATCTTTGAAAGATTTGGCTACTTGTGTAGTGATTTTTGTACAGTTTTGTAAATTCATCCCTGTACTTTTTAGCATTGCCATCCCTAAATCATCCTTATTTTTTCACAATTTTTTTATTATGTGTATATCTTAATGTGTAGGTCACATAATGTATTGTGAATCATTTAAAAACATGATTTCTTTCATGAAAACATCTTAAAGTGTTTTATAAAATTAGAATGATATACCACTACCTCACCTTTACAAATACTAATAAATTGACATTCAAATTAAATCCTGAAGTTACATCAAAACTATTTTAGCAGTTCCCTCTGTTGACTGATTTAAAAAACAAGACATGTTACAAAACAATGAAGGCTATTTGCCCAACACTGCTCATCAGTTTGCTAAAGGTTTATTGGTTACATAACCTCATTAAGCCATTGTTTGAAGAATTCTAATGAAATTACATCTGCAAAACAGTTTGTCAGTTTATTTTATATATCCACATTCTCACACTATTATAGTAAAGTAAATAAAAAATAAGCTATTAGATGGTGAAAAGCATTCTATAATATTGTGCACATGCTGAATAAATTGTAACTAAATCTGTTTTTAGTATGTACTTTTAAAATACAGACTATACAGAACTGTTACAACCAAAAATAATCCACTTCATACATGAGAAAATCTCATTCACTCTATAAATGTAAATTAAATGTCACACTATTCCCGATGAATAAAATAATATCAGAATCCTCTGTATATTTGAGATTTCACTATGTTTAGTGATTTTCCATAAATACCTTCAAGCAGCTTTTAAATAACATAGTTCATTTCTTTAAGCACAGTTGTTTACATACCAAAAGGCCAAAGTGATTTGTTTGTTCTAATTACTAACAGTCCTCTGAATACTTTTCCTGGGTCTATCTTTGACTTTGGGCATTACCATTAAAAAAAGTATGAAGTATTTATTAAGTATATTAAGTATTACCTTTTAATTTTTTAGAATTATTAAGTATTGATTCTATACCATGTATATGTATGTTGTTGACAAGTAAATATAAAAAAATATGAATTTCCAAAAACAACTCTCTATGACAAATCATTGTAATAGCAAACAGAAATTATTTTCAAGGGAAATCAATTTAATATATTGGGACAGAAGCCTTGACTGAAACATAAATATATATATATATATAATACATATTGTTGCGTCT